TGCACTCCATCCTGAGCAACAGAGTGACACTCAGTCTCAAAAAACAAAACAAAAACAAAACCAAAACAAAACAAAATGATTGTTCATAAAACCTTTAAAGTTCTTTTATAGAATATAAAAAACATAAGTAAATGTGCATAAATCAGCCGGGCACAGTGGCTCATGCCTGTAATACCAGTGCTTTGGAAGGCCAAGGAGGGTGAATCATAAGGCCAGGACTTTGAGACCAGCCTGGCCAGCACGGTGAAACCCTGTCTTTACTAAAAATACAAAAATTAGCCGGGCATGGTGGTGCACACCTACAATCCCAGCTACATGGGAGGCTGAGGTAGGACAACCACTTGTACCTGGGAGGTGGAGCCTGTAGTGAGCTGAGATTGTGTCATTGCATTCCAGCCTGGACAATAGAGTAAGACTCTGTCTCAAAAAAAAAAAAAAATTCTGCCTAAATTTGTTAATAAATATACCATATAATAACTGGAAAATATAGAGACATAGCTTTTGTATTAAATTGAAATTGTTATAAAATTAAAACATATTGTTTTAACTTTAAGATATATGTAATCTCCAGTTTTCAAGATGGTTACAAAGATAATATTTATAGAATGTATGCAAAAGAAAGTAAAAAATAATGCATGCCAGTACAAAATTAAATAAAAATTAAGAAAGTAAAGCAGGAAATGAGAAAAATAAAACTACTAGAAACACATAAAACAATCACAATATAATGGGAAATAACTTCATTTCTTTAAGCAATCATTTTAAATATAAATTAATTAAACTACTTAATAAAATAAAATGTAATCTTAGGACTTTGGAAGGCCAACGTAGGCTGATCACTTGATCCCAGGAGTTCAAGACCAGCCTGGGCAACATGGGAAAACTCTGTCTCTACAAAAAATACAAAAAACTAGCTGGGTGTGATGACACATACTAGTAACCCAGCTACTTGGGAGGCTAAAATGAGAGGACAATCTGAGTTTGGGAGGTTTGGATAGCAGTGAGACATGCAAATCAGCCTGGTTGACAGAATGAGGCCCTATTTCAAAAATAAATGAGGTCAGGCATGGTGGCTCACGCCTGTAATCCCAGCACTTTGAGAGGCCGAAATGCGCAGCTCATCTGAAGTCAGGAGTTCAAGACCAGCCTGGCCATCATGGTGAAACCCTGTCTCTACTAAAAATACAAAAAATTAGCCTGGCATGGTGGCGGGCACCTGTAATGTGGAAGCTGAGGCAGGAGAATCGCTTAAATCCGGGAGGCGGAGGTTGAAGTGAACTGAGATCGCACCATTGCACTCCAGCCTGGGCAACAAGAGCAAAACTGCATGTCTAAATAAATAAATATATAAATAAATAAAATTATATAAAGAAAAAGAAATATGGTGAAACACCGTCTCGAATAATAATGCAAGAATTTGCAGGGAATGGTGGCGCGCCTGTAGTGCCAGCTACTCGGGAGGCTGAGGCAGAAGAATGGCTTGAACGCGGAAGGCGGAGGTTGCAATGTGCTGAGATTGTGCCAGTGCACTTTAGCCTGGGCAAGAGAGTGAGACTTCCTCTCAAAACAACAACAACAACAAACAAAAAAACTACACTGAAAAAACACGCTAATACAGAACTTTAAACAGTAAGATAAATGTTTACTCATAAAATCTGGTATAACACATGGAAGTATCATTACAAAAATTTGTCAGGCCAGGCGCTGTGGCTCACGCCTGTAATCTCAGCACTTTGGGAGGCTGAGGCGGGTGGATGACCTGAGGTTAGGAGTTTAAGACTAGTCTGGTCAACGTGATGAAACCCCATCTCTATTAAAAATACAAAACTTAGTCAGGCACGGTGGTACATCCCTGTAATCCCCGCTACTTGGGAGGCTGAGGCATGAGAATTGCTTGAACCCGGAAGGTGAAGGTTGCAGTGAGCCAAGATCTCACTACCGCACTCCAGCCTGGATGAGAGAAGGTAGGTAACTCCTCCTCAAAAAAACAAAACAACAACAAAAAAAACTGTTGAGGTAACTGCAATCTTTAACTGTTATTATGTACTCATCATATACAGGTATTTTGAATCATTGGCATGCACTGTGTGGCAGTAAAATTTCAGAGAATATGCAGTATAATTATAAAAAGATTCTAATGAGAAACTTTTAATAAATTAGCATTTAAAAGAAACTAGAGTTGATTTTTATGTTTTAAATATATGTTATTCTTACACAAAACTGCTGTATTCCAACTTTAGAAGCAAAGAATAGCCTTACATTGTTAAATATAGAAAATATATATATATATATTTTGCAGAATAGGGTTAGACCCTCTGATACGTAAAACAAATATTAGGAAATAAACTCTGTTATTATTTATATACAGGGTGAAGAAAGTAGATGAAAATCCCATAATTTTATAACTACTTATAACTAGTAACTATTTATATTTAGTAACTATAACCATTTAGTAACTATTTTCATAAATATGGAGTGCTTACTAATTATCTAATTTACTTTTGGCATACCATGCAAATTCTAGCATATTGTCTAAATATCTGAATCTAAAATTACAAATTTGAAAGAGAATATAGAAAGAAAGAAATGTATAAGGAGAGTGACATCAGTAAGATGAAAAGAATAAAAGTGCTCTATTTTCATATCCCCTTAAAGCAAAAAAAGTCAGCCATCCCTGACCAAAAATGACTTTATGAGAGAACCAGGCATTATGGTTCACACCTGTAATGACAGCTACATGGTACATTACTGTTGGAGAAATGCTTCAGGCCAGGATTTTGAGACTAGCCTTGGTTATGTAGCAAGACGCCATCTCCAAAATAAGTGCCTCTAAGAGAGATTTGAGATCCAGGGATGGAGTTGTGAAATGCTGTTAAAGCTTCAGTTTGAGACATGTTCTATTCAGAAGGCAGGCCCTCATTCAGGTGGGAAATTACAGGACCCCTGTTCTTGGCTACAGACCAGGATAGGGTTCACTCAACTTGGTCCCACAGAGAATTCTGAACTTACTCTGTAACCACCACAGACTCCTCCCAGCCCCGGTCTGGCAGAGGTCCTGCTTTGCCAGAGACCTGGAGAAAGGCACCCATTTACAGCTATGTAGGCAGGCCTGCAGACTTTGGCCTTTACTGTGGTTCCTGAAACAGTTCACTGACTCAGTTTCAGTTATGTGAGCCACAGTTTATAGTCAGTTCTGCCTATATAGAAACCCACAGTTACCTGAGGAAATGTTCTCTGGTACTTACTGAAAGCCACACTCATCCACATCCTGATTTAAGGCCCAGCATATGCAGACCTGACTGCAAAAGCATGCCCTAGTGTCTGCGCTACAGAGCAAAGTCCTAAAAGATATGTAGTCTGTCCAAAAATAAAACGGGAATTACAACTACCCAAGCCCCCGTAACAGGTCAACTGAAGGTGAACCCTAGTGGAGACCCAGCATCCTTGTGACCAAGCTACAACCCCTCTTCACTACAAATTCAGAGGGCTTCTCATCACCCTAAGGGCCCAATAAAAGAAAATCTTTACCTTCTAAAATCAGTTTATGAAAACTTGAAGAGGTGTTTGTTCCATCAAATTCAGATACCAATACAAAACTATATTGTGCCCATTGTCAATGCTTCTATTTTAATGTAGCACTGGAAGTATGTGGCAGAAGAATTACTCAAAGAAATAAAAAAATCCACTGAAATTAAAAAATAAGTAAAATGCTATTTGTAGATCATACAATCTTATATTTAAAAAACCATAAACAGTATATTAAAATCTGTCTAAACTAATAGATATACTCAGTAAATTAGCAAAATATAAAATTTACATACATCTATGGTTTCATACATATCTGATAAAATGGAAGAAGAAAAAAATTTTATTGACTATACCATTAAATAATAAATTTCTGAGGAAAATATTAACCAAGGAGGTAAAAAATCTTTACAATAAAAAAGGAAAGGCCGGGCGTGGTGGCTCAAACCTGTAATCCCAGCACTTTGGGAGGCCGAGATGGGCGGATCACGAGATCAGGAGATCGAGACCATCCTGGCTAAGCCGGTGAAACCCCGTCTCTACTAAAAAATACAAGAAAAAAAAACTAGCCGGGCGAAGTGGTGGGCACCTGTAGTCCCAGTTACTCGGGAGGCTGAGGCAGGAGAATGGCGTAAACCCGGGAGGCGGAGTTTGCAGTGAGCCGAGATTTGGCCACTGCACTCCAGCCTGGGCGACACAGCAAGACTCCGTCTCAAAAAAAAAAAAAAAGGAAAAATTAGAAAAGATACAAATAAATTGTAAAATATTTTATCTATGAATTGAAAAAATAAGTATTATTGAAGTGCCATATTATCCAATCTATAGATTAAATAAACCTCCTATTAATTAAAATTGCAGTGGTACTATTTTCACAATAATGGAAAATACAATTCAAAAATTTACATGAAACTAAAATGAACTTTGAATAGCCAAAGCAACCATGAGGAAAAATAACAAAGCAGAGGGATGTCATACTTATAATTTCAAACTATGTATTTCAAGACTAGATAGTAATAAAAACGGAATGGACTGTGCAGAAAAATGAACAAACAAAATTCAACAGAAACTATTACTCTCAGACATTTCAGACCTGATGCAAAAAGAGAACTTTGAGTAATTTTAGTTTCTCAAAATCATGCAGATATTTGTGTGTCCCAAAAATTAAGGAAAAGCAGCCACATTGTACAGTCTCTTTATGCCATGAAGAGGACTTTGGCTCTCACTGTGAACTTGAAGGAAGCTCACTGAAAGAAAAGGAAAATCCTTAGAGAATTTAAAAGCATAAGACAGATGATGCTCCTTTGTAAGAGCAAAATTAAAAAAGAAAAAACAACCAAACAAAAAAACCCAGCTGCCCAAGAACTATTTCCTTTGGAACACAGCTTCCCAAATCACACTTTAAGGACAGGCTTTCTCTTTGACCTTGGGACCCCTTATCTGTGTTGTCTGTTGTATTCATTTTCACTCGCACCTACCTGGGGATTTGGCTACCATCTCATGTCTCTTCATAGTCAAAGGTTTTTTTCCTTGCTCCAGACAGGTGATCAGGTCTGGCTTAGAAACAGGAATACCTGTTTTATTAAAAATAAAGAACATAAATCTTGCTTATATTCTCCAATTACAAGCTAGTAATGTGCTCAGCACAAAGAATGTGATAAAATATGCTAGTAAATTAATACAAAAATACTAAGTTATAACAGAAATTTCTTTTTTTTTTTGAGGCGGAGTCTCGCTCTGCCGCCCAGGTTGGAGTGCCGTGGCCGGATCTCAGCTCACTGCAAGCTCCGCCTCCCGGGTTCACGCCATTCTCCGGCCTCAGCCTCCCGGAGGCTGGGACTACAGGCGCCCGCCACCTCGCCCGGCTAGTTTTTTTTGTATTTTTTAGTAGAGACGGGGTTTCACCGTGTTAGCCAGGATGGTCTCGATCTCCTGACCTCGTGATCCGCCCGTCTCGGCCTCCCAAAGTGCTGGGATTACAGGCTTGAGCCACCGCGCCCGGCCAAGAAATTTCTAAATAATTAGAAAATACTTTCAACTTGTAGGTTTCTTAATTTCACTATCTGGTTCTACTGAATCAAAAATTGGTGGTGGCAATCAGATTTTCAGGTGGGGGCAACAATATTTTATGCCACTAAATTTCTGGAATTACCACTAATTTAGAATGAAGAATACAGCTCAACTCAGGAATGTGGAAAGTTTGGATTAAGATGGAACACGTTGAAGAAATTCTTTTCTAAATGAACAAATTCTGAAGATTTTCTGGAAAATGGGGATCTGAAACTCTTTTATGCAAAGAATAAATTACTAAAAAAATTCTACAAAATAAATAAATAAATAAATAAAACATTTAGGGTATATTATCATGTACTCAAGTTATCCTCACCAAGGAAGACCAGGTTTTTGTAGTTCTCTAACATCACATTCCTATATAAATTCCGCTGTGCAGTGTCCAGGCAATGCCACTCCTCCAGAGAGAATTCTATGGCCACATCTCTAAATTGCAATGGTCCCTGAAAAACATACACACACACACACACACACACACATACACATTTTTACCAAGTGGGCATGGGCGGAATTTTTAATTTGACTTAAGGTGAAATGAGAGAGTAAAGAGAACTGGTTCTGACTTATAGGACTGACTAAAATTACCCAATAAAATGATTTCAAAACAGCAATATTATCTAATGTATTCTCTAACTCTGAGAAGAAAGAGCAGCATAAGATCCACATCAATTCATGTATTTTTCTAGATAATAAAGTATAAAATTAAGGGCAAGAACATGAACATGTATATTTTTGAGTGCTATATTTACATCATACAGAATGAGTTGTGAATATTTTTCAGATGGAAAAGACGTGTTGAGTTAGAAGGCATCTCTAAAGTTGTAATATGTACAATAAGCTGAAGACCTCGTTATGCAGGTCCCCCCCTCCCCCCCAGAAGATCTGGAATAAAGTCTGATTTATTTATTTATTTAGCGATGGAGTTTCGCTCTTGTTGTCCAAGCTGGAGTGAAATGGTGCCATCTCGGCTCACCGCCACCTTCACCTCCCAGGTTCAAGCAGTTCTCCTGCCTCAGCCTCCCAAGTATCTGGGATTGCAGGCATGCTCTACCACACTCGGTAAATTTTTTTTTTTTGTATTTTTAGTAGAGATGGTGTTTCTTTATGTTGGTCAGGCTGGTCTTGAACTCCCTACCTCAGGTGATCTGCCCCCTCTGGCCTCCTAAAGTGTTGGGATTACAGGTGGAGACACCGTGCCCAGCTAATTTTGTGAATTTCTAACAAGTTCACCAGTAATGCCAATGTTTTTGGCCCAAGAAGGATATTTTGACAAACATCTAGTAAGTGGAAGAGCCTGTGTTTTCCCCACTTTTTCTAGCCTGTAAACAAACATAATAGCCTTCATTCACCATAGAAACATATGTAGAGAAAAAAAAGGACAGTTGCCAGATTAACTGTGATGGTTTATGCACATCAGCTGCATAAAGATACTTAATAATAAAGAGGAAAAATAATTAACTCTATAGTGAAAAAAATATATCAGAGATATTTAACCAAGTGAATCATTAACTTCACTAGGACAATTTTTTTTTTTTTTTGAGACGGAGTCTTGCTCTGTCACCCAGGCTGGAGTGCAGTGGTGCGGTCTCAGCTCACTGCAAGCTCTGCCTCCCAAGTTCACACCATTCTCCTGCCGCAGCCTCCTAAGTAGCTGGGATTACAGGCGTCCACCACCATGCCCAGCTAATTTTTTTGTATTTTTAGTAGAGACAGGGTTTCACCATATTAGCCAGGATAGTCTTGATCTCCTGACCTCGTGATACACCTGCCTCGGCCTCCCAAAGTGCTGGGAATACAGGTGTGAGCCACCACGCCCAGCCTAGGACAAATTTTTATGATGTGCTAATGCACATAGAAGAACACAGCATCACTGTTGAAATATTCCTCCCCCAAAAAAATATAGTCTGAATGTAAGCATAAAGAAACATCAGTTTTAGACCAGGCATGGTGGCTCATGCCTGTGATCCCAGCAATTTGGGAGGCTGTGGGGGAAGGATCTCAAGGTCAGGAGTTTGAGACCAGCGTGACTAACATGGTGTAACCCTGTCTCTACTAAAAATACAAAAATTAGCCAGGTGTTGTGGCAAGCACTTGTAATCCCGGCTGCTTAGCATGCTAAGGCAGGAGAATTGCTTGAACCTGGGAGGCAAAGGTTGCAGTGAGCCAAGATCAGGCCGCTGCACTCTAGCCTTGGTGACAGAGCCAGACTCCGTGTCAAAAAAAAAAAAAAAAGAAACATCAGTTTTATACAAACTTTAAAATACAGATGACTGCTACATTCTGTAATTTTTAGTAGTAATTTTAAGTAGGCTTCATTTAGCCCCCTAAAGGGCAGGTATCTCCTAATAACTTTTTTCAGAACTTTCTGGGTAATAAATGCCATCCCATTTAAATAAGCATTTTCGGCCGGGCGCGGTGGCTCAAGCCTGTAATCCCAGCACTTTGGGAGGCCGAGGCAGGTGTATCACGAGGTCAGGAGATCAAGACTATCCTGGCTAATATGGTGAAACCCTGTCTCTACTAAAAATACAAAAAACTAGCCGGGCGTGGTGGCGGGCGCCTGTAGTCCCAGCTACTCGGAGGCTGAGGCAGGAGAATGGCGTGAACCTGGGAGGCGGAGCTTGCAGTGAGCCGAGATCGCGCCACTGCACTCCAGTCTGGGTGACACAGCGCGAGACTCCGTCTCAAAAAAAAAAAAAAAAATAAGCATTTTCTTTTCCTTTTTTTTTGGACGGAGTCTCACTCTGTCCCCCAGGCTGGAGTGCAATGAAGCCATCTCAGCCCACTGCAAGCTCCTCCTCCCGGGTTCACACCATTCTGCCTCAGCTTCCCGAGTAGCTGGGACTACAGATGCCCACCACCACACCTGGCTAATTTTTTGTATTTTCAGTAGAGACAGGGTTTCACTGTGTTAGCCAGGATAGTCTCGATCTCCTGACCTCGTGATCCACCCATCTCAGCCTCACAAAATGCTGCGATTACAGTTGTGAGCCACCGCACCTAGCCTAAATAAGCATTTTCTTAATCCTGGTCTTCATACAGCTAATGGAACACACAGATGGAGCCTCATCATTACATGTTCTCCATCTTTACTAAGGACCACAGTTTTCCCCAATAGAAATCTTGAGTATCCACATCTTTTCATGTTCAACAGCCACAAAGGGAACATTTAAAAAATTGCAGATCCTAAATTCTTGCTGAGAATTCTACATGGCATATAAGAAGCTATGATGCAGAGAATAAAGAGAAGGCTCTGGAATACAGGAAAGAAATATTTTTCAGAGACTCCTGACTGTCATAAGAATTTAAAGAAGTAATTAAACCAAACTCATTAGGGAGGAAAAACACAAGTAGAGAAGTAAAGGTTTGTGAGTACTAAACGCATGGCAGTCCAGGAGGCAGAATCGACACTGCTCTTCATCTGAGACATGTTTACCTGAAGAAAAGCCACTTTTTTTCTTTCTCCTCCTTCTCTGAAATTCCTTCTGAGATGAGATTCTCTAGACAAATTACACCTGAATCTTGAGAATATGTCTTTAAAGGCTTCAGTACCACATGTTTACCTGTTAGCATGACATCAACTGACAGAAAAACAAAGACAGAAAAAGTCCACCCATTTCTGTCCTTTAAAACAGAAGACATTCAGTAACAATGAGATGCTCCATGAAGATAAAAATATAAATTTCTCTTTCCTGTCCTCAGATGCTCTCCCCTGCCACAGACACCAGCCATTTCTGCTACAGTAATGGAAATATGTGCCACACTGACCTGTCCCTACCAAACCCAAACAGAACAGGCCCTGTGACCACCCTTTAGTGCAAAGTTGGAACTGAACTCTCATGAATGTATTTTGAAGCCCTCATACTTGATTCTGGTCTTACCTGAGTCACACAAGGGACTTCATAAAACAACATGGATGTTTCCACCCAGAATAATAAACAGAAGCTGTGGGGAAGGCACAAGAAATTTCTGCAAATTGGCCATGTGATCCTAATGAGAAGCCTCGGCTGATAACCACCGAGCTAAGCATTTTCTCTCAAGCTTTAACAAGCTTATAAATCACTTGGTAATTTTGGCCCCACTTTATGTAATGTGATTCTGCAGGTTTGAAAAGGGTCCATGAATGGGTGTTTTAAACAAGTTCCCTGTCAATGCTGATGTTGCTTCCCCTTGGCTCATTATTAGCATTAGTGAGAGAAGCAGGCACAGCACAAGGTCCCTTACACTCAGCACTCTTGTCACAACCAAATACTTCTGTCACAAATAAGGACAACCTATCTCCATCTAAAAGTTTTGTAGCCTTTGCTGGTTCTTTAAAGTTTACAGAAAAAACATAAGGCAGCAGTTTCTGAATAAGTCTGGATTTAAAAAACATGTACACATGTACTAATGCAAAGTTTTTTAAACAGGTACTATGTGCTCAAGAGTATGATACAGAGCACTGTGCTGGGCATAACACATTATGTGATTTAATTCTCATAACACCCTGGGAGCTGGTACTAAGTGTATAATAATTTTCAGGATTTAGGTAAAGGGCCCAGCATTTTTGTTGCTTCTTCTGTTTCTCTGCCGTCAAATTTTTTTAAAAACTGCAAAAAATTAAAGCTAAATATAGACAGATGAAAGAAACATGGAAAGCAAGAGTTTAATGTAGTTTAGAGAAAATTTTATTCTGTTTATATTTACGTTTTTGTGACTTGTGGAGCAACTACCGGATATGCAGGAATGGAAAACAAGTTCCTAAATAGAATGTCTCTGCAAACACTGGTTTTAATATAAAATTTTAAAACCAAGACCCTACAACACATAATTTATTTTCCCATTTATCTGTTTTTTGGATTTCAGGAAATTGTAAGCACCAGCTCTAGAAAGACAACAGGATTCACCAGCCAAAACTCTGATCTCTTCTACACAGTTCTGTGAAGCAAGACTCCAGGGTAGGGTCACACCTAAATAAGGCCTCCAAAAAGGGTGAATCTCAACAGAACTGGGTCAGGAAGTGGACCCTATGTAGAATTCTGTTCTCTATGCCACTGGGGTATTTCCAGTTTGGTTTTTTTGTTTTTTTTATTTTTTTTGAGACGGAGTTCTTACTCTGTCGCCCGAGAGGCTGGAGGTTCTGGGCAGTGGGTCCGGATTCTACAGCTCACTGCAGCTCCGCTCCTGGTTCACGCCATTCTCCTGCCCTCAGGCCCCTCCCGAGTAGCGGACTACAGGCGGCCCACCATCGCGCGGCTGGAGTTTTTTTGTGATTTTTTAGTAGAGACCGGGTTTCACTGTGTTAGGCCAGGAAATGGCGTCTCGGATTCCTGACCTCGTGATTCGCCCGTCTCGCCTCCCAAGTGCTTGGATTACAGGCCTTGAGCCCACGCGGCGGGGGGGGCCGGCCCGTTTTGTTTTTTTCTAAGGGCTTACCTAAAAAAAACTTTAAAATCCAGGAGTC